AGCACTAAGTGCGTGTAAGATTACTTCGAGTCTTGTATTGCAATGCAGGGAGGCTCTGGATTGCCTCGCAGCGAGGCATCCGGTATCGTTAATATGGGTACCGGGGCACGCTGGGATAAGGGGCAATGAGACGGCGGACACTCTGGCGAAAACAGGATCAGCCAGCAAGCTCGTTGGTCCTGAGCCAGCTCTAGGAGTAACCGCGCATAAAGCTAGGAGGAAAATGGAGACGTGGGTTGCAAGACAACACTCTCAGAAATGGAGAAGTATCTCTAGACATCTCCGCCAGGCACGAGAGCTCATTGAAGGGCCCAGTGCTAAGGATGGACGCTTCTGCCTATCTCTGGGTAGAGCCAACCTAAGGTTGCTGGTGGGACTGTTGTCTGGCCATAACACGTTAAGGCGGCACCTGCACGTGATGGGGGTGGCTGAGGATCCCTTGTGCGAACGCTGCAGAGTAGAGGAAGAGACCTCGGCGCACGTTTTGTGTCGCTGTGAAGCTCTGAGCTACCATAGGCAGACTATACTGGGGTCCATTACTTTGGACCCTCAGGACGTAAAGGAGCTTGGACTCAAGGCGATTCTCAACTTCGCTAAAAGGGCGAGGCTTGTGATTTAAGTATTGTAGAGGTGCATAAGGGCCCGCTTAAGCGGCCTATGCACTGGCTCCTTATGGTGGCCGGGATGCCTCTAAAATTCAAGATTCATTCATTCATTCAAGATATAGTCATTGTTATGATTAAACCTCCTATGCAACAATTTTTCCAGATCTGAGCTTCCTGAATAGGTATCTGTATAGTAAAACATTAGCTCCGTGGTCTGATATACAAGAGTTTCATAATAAACTCTAGTAATTTTGTAGATATTTAATAAAAATCGGTGTGAATGGAAGCGAATAATTTTTTTTGAGGTTAACATCTCCATCATTTTCTGTATGCATACATCCAGAGCGCCAGACCTGCATGTATAGTTGAGCTGGGGAAAAACGGATTGATATTATTGAACAGTTTGCTTTAAGAGGTTTCTCTCAAATCTGTTAATTCAGTTGTACCAATGAGAGTACCTTTTTGAAATGCACCTTGATACAAACATCTCAAAGCCGTGAAAAAGCGGTTGTATCATAAATAAGGGTACCATCCAAATCTAACAGTATGTTCTTGAGCATAAACAACAGAATAACATTCAAAAATTTGGATCTAATAAATTTATTAACATGTTTTTACTGTTTTGGATAAATGTTAATGCCAAGAATCTCGAATTTTGTTAATCTTCACATACGTAGTGTTCACACGTACATTATTTTACATACACACTTACATTCAAATGTGCGAGTTTTTAAAAATAAAAAACATGTCAAGTAAAATGATCAGGATCGTCTGAAACGAGCGGTATTTCTGAAGTTATAGGCGGTTATTATATTAGCCGAAAGACTGACGACAATGAGTGACATTGTTTTTCGTGATTGACATGTCATATAAGGTCCAAAAAACATAATAACTCATTTTCAGAAATTTTCGTGATTACAATACCCCGCCAGTATGCGTGATATGTAAAAAAGACATAAAATGTATTCCAACCGATTTATCACCATTTGTTACACCAAAGTCATGTTATTTTCAGTTTGAGATCTAGGAATTTCTTCATACCAATAATTCACTTTCCTTCATCCTAAAACACCAATATGTAGGGTTAACCAGATCAATAACCAGAGCAAAGGTTATTTTTGTTTTTTAGCCTCAAAAGTTATGGGTAGACCCCTGCTCTTCAATTTTCAATCGCCGATTCAAGAAATTAATTTCGCTTAACTTATAACCAGATTTTTGTCAATAGCTCCATCCCTACAAAAAAAAGATGTATTGCAAGTGGAATGATAAAAATGACTCTTAAAACACGTTTCCCTTTTTCCTAGAGCTGGTTGAACATTAGACGAAGGTATATACGAACCCAGTGTCAAAATAATACGGGTTATCCTTAGCCGGTGGATGGTGCTTGTCCCTTGCTGCTGTCCACTGTTCATAGTGAAGGAGGTGCTAGTAAACCGGAGGGAATATGGTGATACTTGCATTATGTATATAGAAGTGTTTTTTCACAGTTTTTTCATACAAAACATAAATACACACTTTAGACCATGTTTCCGTATATTCATAAGCCATTTATACTGAGATGCAAAGCAAATGTTGGGTCGCGTTACTATATTGCCATAAACGGATGAAGCCGTTAGTTTGTAATGAGAAGCAGTATATTATTGATAATGGGCAATTTGTATGATTTTGTTTACAGAATCGGTTAATCTCAATGATAGATTCAAGAAACCCAATTTCACTTCTAAAGTAATTTTAGGAATATTTATAGCTAAACCACAAACATACTCGTTTTACAGAAAGATAAGTAACGCTTTGTTAAACCACAAAACATCTAGCATAAGAAGGTTAACGCCAAATCAAGGATCTAAGCTCAATGTCCTTGCTCCACCCTAGAAAACCCAATACCGACGCTGATGACTGTACATAGCTTCTACCTTGCCTACCCATCCTAGCTGAAAAGTCTGCGAGCAACTCACATCTATCAAAAAAACTCCCCCGTCCCATAACTACGTCAGAGCTACGTACGAGGATATACGGGCTGTTATGAGCAAGAGTACGACGACGTTTTTCAATTGTTTATGGAACCGCATAAGAATTCCAATTTCCAAAATATAAAAGGAAGTTATCTGCAGCAAATCCATTTAACTTATAATTGAAGTTTACTTTTACCTTTTACGTTTAAGTGAGTATGTTGGACGTCAACATTTTAAATTCGAAATAATACAAAAGTTTCTATTATCTGTACCTGCTTATCTACAGCACTTCTCTATGCTTTTGTGCCTTCCTCAGTTTGTTTGGAAGCATTTGCATTTTGCTTGGGATTCCTATGCCGCGAAGTCTACGTGGTCAGCCTTAGGAATTTATATATAAAGCACAAAAAAGAATATGTTCCACAGCCTAGCTGATGATAACACTCTACATGCAGACATTCAGTGTAGCAAGCCGATCTTTGCCTGAGCCTGAGCTGGAGAAAAACATACTAATAGAGACTTCCTTTCTGACGAGAGTTCCGGCAGTTACCGCTACTTGGGGACCAACAATCTGATACAGTTTATTGGTTTCAAAACACAGTATTGTAGCTTGACTAACAAGCTGCGCTCTAGCGCTCATCCGGCTTCAATACATACCGAGTTCTGTCGAAGAGCCATTCGTTTAGACTAGTTGGAGTCCGTGTAACCGAGAACTTGCATTGGTACGAACACATACCGTCAATCGCAATAGCTGCTTGGAAAAAGTTGGGTTATCTGTTTAGGGTTTAACGCTAAGAAGATGTTGTTTCCACACAATCTCATAACTCTATACAAGTCCCAGATAAGAACCAGCTTCGAGTACAGCTCACATATCGACCTGCGGTGGCCCCGATAATATATCGAGGTTATGGAACAACCTATCTGAAGGGGCTTTTCCTAATTCTGCTAACCTAAAGTAGTTCAAAAATCGGATCAACAAGGAGATGCGGTGCTCCAGTATTAAGACTTCTGCCTACGCGGCTGCGCAGTATAAAAAGAACTTCACAACAGTAACCAGTTGACGCCTAACATGAATCAAATCCAAGCGAATAACCAAAATTTCTGTGTTATGTGCCGCGGTTATAATATGGTTCAAGATGACACACGGGTTGATGACGTCAGTTACACAAATCGCTTGAACTCGTTGGTTTTAACCGCGGTTTTGTTGCAAGTTGTTTATTTTAGAAAAGCGCGTATATAATCTCTGATTATTTTTATTATCACTTAATAATCGGTGCTTTTTCGTCTACAACTGTATATGGAAAGATTAAATAAGAAACCTTTCATAATATTCATGAAAGAAATGTTTTTTTCAGATTTTTTTAATGATGGAACCATGGCTTTGTAGCTATGATAACTTTCAATTCTCTAAATTTTTCCGCATGTCAAAGAAAACATTTATTGATTCAGCAGAAATGATGAAAAAAGAAATTAGCAAAACCGTATACAGGTGGATATCATCTAATGAGTTTATATGGCCACATTTTAATATTCTTGTGGTATATGGCTACACAGGATACTTTGTTAAGCATAGGAACTACATATAAAGTATGCCCAGCAACCGTAATAAGTATAACTAATAAGGTGCTCCACTTTATGGTATAACTGAAGTCAGCCTGTATTATTTTTCTCAAAAATATAATAACAATATCCTATACCCGGCAAAATTCCAACTTGTCACATTTCAAATAATAACCAGAAATATAAAACTACTCTTGAGTTGGGTAAATAACACAATTTTGCGGTGACAACTATGACATATAACAGCTGATTCGTGACGTCACGGATCTTATAACCAAACTGATAACTACACTCGCTTGAACGGATTGGTAAATACCAACCCAAAATGGTAAATACCATTTCCATTTGGTTATCCGCTTGAATTTGATTATGATGTCGCTCATGGATAACAATTAACTTAGGTGAGTACTAGCTCCAAAACGATGTATTATTGGTAAATTACAGCCTGTGTAATTAATTGGTCAATTGACTTACCTTGAGGAAAATTGAACCATATTATATGAGTATTGCCGTTCGAAGAATTACAAAGTAACCACTTGTAGTGGCAATTTTTCCCGCTCGCACCAGCACGAAGTTCAAAGCAAAACCATGCTCCACGCCCCTGCCCATACCCGGTACCGACCGGTACATCATCTCCTCTATCAAGACTCGTCACTGCAATTTACGCAGCTAATCCCGATCGGAACAGTGGGAGGGATGAAAAACAATGGGTGAGCTTGTAATTCTTCGAACGGCAATACTCATATAATATGGTTCAATTTTCCTTAATGTAAGTCAATTGACGAATTAAATTATATTTCGTATCGCCGTCCTCGAATTACAAAGTAACCACTTGTAGCTGTTTAAAGAAAAATCCGAATCGGGATCATGACACAATATTTATTCCGTAAAGATCTAATAGAGGAAACTAAACAAAATGATTTAATAATAATATCCTCTAATACAAATTATTATATTATAACCAGTTCACTACACTCTTTTCTAATGGTTCAAAAAGTTGTGTATAATTTGATCAAACTCTTTTAATCCATAGGAAACTATAAAACTTAGGTTAAACTTAAGATACCTTTAGCAAAGGCCGTAACATCACTACAAAGAGGGCGATTATAAAACTTAGCAAAAATTTCTGATTTTTGTGTCCAACCAGCCCTCTCTCTTATCATTTCAATATAAACTCCAGCTCTATAGGCTGCAGATGTAGCCGGATCCCCAGTGCTATAACTAGAAAATATAGAGGTATCAATAACGCCTGCTTGAAGGGTCAGTTTGATCCATTTACCAGTCTCTGTGTAGAGACTGGTCGATAGGTCTCTTAAATGTTAAAATAAGAAAATGAGTATCAAGTGGGCGTATGTCTCTGGTTTTTATTTCATAGAAAACAATAGTTGAGGCTAAACAAAAGCTTGTGTTTTCCGAAAATATGGGATTACTAAAAGGGGTTGAAGACCCTTGGAAGATGAAGTTTTGATTCGATCCGTAATGTTAATTTCTATTCTATCAGGATGGTGAACTATATATTGTAATCGTATATAAGTGAACGTTTGTAATCGATGGCCAGTAATTAAAGCGAACAAAGTAACTAACTTCATAGGTAATTGCATAACAGATATTTCTGTTAAGGGATACAAGGTAGACAAGTACTCTAAAACTGGTTGTGGATACCAAGTTGATTGATATTTAGGTCTTGGCGGTCTCTGATTAAAAATTCCTTTAAGAAACCGTTTTAGAATACTTTTATCTGAACTATTTATGTCAAAAATCAAAGCTAATGCTGCATACTGTGAGTTAAGTGTTGAGTAAGAACAATTGTTTTGAAATTGATCAATCAAAAAATTCATGACCGCGTCTAATGAATACAAAAAGGGAATATGATCTTTGCTTATGCAAAATTGCCACCACTTTTTTAATTTCGATTAATACTGCCTCCAGGGAAAGTGTTCTCCACAGTGGTGGCATCCTCTAGAGGGGGAAGAACGAAGGGCTTTATTAAGCGAAAATGTTATAGATTTTTTTGTCAATAATTTATGGAAAACAGAATACCACGGTTGAGTTGTCCAGTTAGGAACTACATGAATTCCACAGGCTTGCTCAGCAATAATTTTTATAAGCATTTTGATGTGAGTGAGAAAGGAGGATAAAAAAAAATATAAAAAACTCTTTTTTCCAAGACACTGTAAAGGCATCAACTGTAAAAGAACTGGGATCTGGTTTCCAAGAAATATACCTAGGGCATTTGGCATTTAGCTATGTCGCGAATAAATCCACAGTCCGTTTTCCGAACTGGAACAGATTTCTCGAAAAGCCAAACCCGATAACTCATAGTCTAGGTTGATAGATTTCGAGCGAGATAATCTGTCTGCATATAAATTATCTCTTGTATTTATACATGAAGCTACTATAAAAATATGTCTATTCTCACACCATTCCCAAATCTGGCGTGTGATGTTATTAAGGTGTTTATATCTTACACTACCCATATTTATGCAAGCTGCAGCCGTTACATTGTCGATTCTAAGAAGAATTAAACAAGAAGATACATTGGAGGCAAAGGATTTAAGTGCATTAAATGCGCCTAGTAACTCCAAATAGTTAATGTGTCTGTTAGCATCATTCATATTCCAAAAACCGTTAGTACCTCTATTCTGACAAAAGGCACCCCAGCCAGTTAATGAAGCATCAGGGAAAATCTCAAGTATGAATTTCCTATCTGTAACAATAGCTACACCTTCATCATTTATAAGAGTACGATGCCACCAACATACTTCTGATCGCATTATCTCTGAAATTACTACTGAGGTATTGAAATTTTGCTTGTTTCTTTTTAATGTTAAATATTTAAATCTTAAGGTGCATCCACAATAGTACAGTCGGGCAAACGGAAACTAGTTTTCCTATTAACTGAGCTAAAACTAAAACAGGACACCGATTTCGGCGTAGAAAAGTCTCTATTCAATTATGTTTTTTTCACTTTTTCTGTTGGTAAGGACACCTTTAAATTCGTGGAACAAAAAACAAAATCTAAAAAAGGTACATTGTTTGGCTGGGATCGTAGAGCTTTTATTGTAATTTACTAGGAATCCTAAATATTCAAAAATATTCTTAGCAATTTGACAGTCTTACTCAGCTGTTTGTATTGACTTGCTGATAATTAATAAGTCATCTAAGGAAGTACACAAATTATACATCTAGTCCTTAAATATTTAAGGATTATTTTCATAATTTTTGTAGAGACCCATGGGGCAAAACAAAGACCAAAAGGTGAACAATTAAAATGGTAATATACACCTTGAAATTTAAAAGTGAGGTATTTTCTGAATGTCTGATGCACCGGTATCATAAAATAGGCATATATTAAATCTATCTTAGTGAAGAAACTATAAACTAATTTAAAGACAGTCCTGTAAACTTCCAATTTAAAGTGGGGTGGTTCTAAATATTCGTTTAGTTCCTTTAAATTTAGAATAAACCTGAATGGCCCACAAGGATTCGGTATTAAGAAAAATGAGCACAAAAACTGGCCAGGTTATGAGGTAGTTTCGGATACCTTTTTTGATCAATAGTGTTAGGCTATCCTTTAACTTATCTGATTCCTGCAGCATAAAAGCAGGTGTAGTTAAACGCCTTTGTTTAGGTTTCTTAACAAAAGGCATGTTCTATATCCAGACAACCATGAAATAATACTAGAATCTTCTGTAATGTTTGCCCATTTATTTACATATGTAGATAAGCGACCCGCATACATATCGCAGAGTATGTACCTTGTCTACTGCTTCCGGTATGATATTGCTGAACGAAACCTCTCTTCCTCGTTTTTTATGCGAGATTTGTGTTGCTGGCGCCGGGAGTTTAAAGACGACGAGACCCTCGACGAACCTGGCTTGGGCTCCAATTTCTTATAGATGACTGGTTTGGAAGATGCTGTTCCTAGGGCTTTTTCTTTCTTCTTGATTGAAAAGCCTAATCGTTGAGCTTCACTTGCGGATTTCCATTGGTCCGGGAATGTTTTTCCGAATAAGAATTCATTACTTGGGCAGGTATCAGAAAACTCGCGAACGTTGCCATCCAAAAATGGTAGAATGGAATAACGACGATGAAGGGAAATCGCGTGAAATACATCTGCCATTATTTTTAGTGGAGCACATCATTTTTCCAATTCAGCTCGTGTTTCGTCTGTAGAATTCGATTTTGTTATTTCATATTGTTTATCGAAGCCGACGGCCAGCGCACTTACCCCAGAGGCTAACTGTAATTGAAGCTTACTGAGGAATGTAACCTCTTTAACTGCATTTGTATTCAAACAAGATCGAACCTCTGGGTTAATCACTGGAGGCTGAAGGGCTGGACAGTTTACCAAACAGGGATAATATTACAGAGTAGCTTTGCGAGATTCTTTATCAATTCCCTTAAGTACAAACTCAGATATCAGGGCTGCTAAGTCTGTACTGACCTCTGGACCTTTTATACACCCTGATCCTGCGATGATCCAGGCGCCGGGACTTGCGTTGGATGATTTGATAAGGGCGCATCTGAATCCGAGTCCGTCCCTGTAGCCTCCAACGACGCCTGACTCACCTAAAAAACATGTTCACATGTCTATAAAGACTGTCCAGCAGCTTTGTTTTGAGGGAGTTACATACTATGTATTCAATACCAACATGCCAATAAGTAATTTATGTGAATACTGTATTTCAAGAAGTCGCCATTCGGTGCATAGCACATGTGTACATACGCACTTTGTTACGGGACCCATATTTCTCTCCGTTCTGTTGCGAGCGCACGAAAAATTGCAGTGACGAGTGACGAGTCTTGGTAGGAGATGATGTACCGGTCGAGGGGGAAAAATTGCTACTACAAGTGGTTACTTTGTAATTCGAGATCAGCAATACGAAATATAATAATGGCTCACCGACGAAATTTTTAGGAACTAAGCCTCTCGAACCGAAAAAGATGTCTGGTCTGACATTGTAAAGATGACCAACTCTTCAAGGATAGGCTGCCTTGTGAATTGAGGGGAACAGTATTGAAGCAACAGTGTTTCGTTCATTAAAATTGGCAAACATATCAGCCTTAAGCAATTGTTATACAGGGTGTAAAAAATAGCAATACTGCGTTACACCGTCCCGGCGGGAATTAAATTTTACTTTGAAAAGTTTTGTAAAGTTAAAGGGTGAAATAAAACCAATCAAATATATTTATCCAAAACAAACATTTTAACGCCTTTTCTAATTTTTTCATAATATAGCAATTTTAATTAGTGCATAGAATTACCCAGATTTTAAGTGTATAAATATCTGCCACCAAAAAATTGAGATACACCCTCCCCCACCCACACCACTCAATTTTTAACCTGTCTTCTATGTAACATTTTTTCCTCGAGAGTTTCATTAAAAAGATACTTTAATTTCCTCCAACTGGAATGAACTAAAATTTGGTATGTGGATTTACCTAAGTATTGTCAACATTCAAAAGTCTTTACTTAAAATTAACGTGCACCACTGGCCGGATACAGGGGATTAGTGGCATTATTTTTTCAAATAAAAATAGTACGTCACTGTTTTCTTTTTTTTTTCGTAACACGCAGTTTTTTTTAATTTCACCTTCAATTGGCTACAAATAATTAGACTAGTGTATTTTTCCTAGAGTGCATTGTTTGTGCGAATGGATGTGAATGGATAAACAAAAACACTACTTTCTTGAAAACAGGATAATAATAAACTTGACATAATTTTGTAAATATTAAAAAATAGACAAACAAATAAATTAAAGCAGTACCTTCAAATAAAAATAACAATACGAGGAAATAAAGTAAAATCATATTTGGCGGCAGTTTGTCTTAAAAGATTCTGGAAGCTATTCGCAGGTGATGAACCATGGAAATGGTCCACCATATAAACTGGTCTACGTTGTACTCGGGTACTGCAGAGAAACATTTTCAACCTCGGCCAAAATCCCTGGATTTGCTTTTTGTTTATTTATTGCTTTTTTCTTACTTTTAGACAACTATATTTTAGTTCATATATTTCTTGTTTTTCTCATATTATTTCTTCAAGAAACTAACTTAGTTTATTTTTAGCAAATGCAGTTTTAATTTATTTATTTTCATTGTCCTAAAGCTTTTTAGCTCTTGGGTGTATGATTCACATGTTAATATATTTCAAATCACAGTCAGCTATGAATTGATTAAACCTCTTATTAAATATTTTTTGCAAACGCATGAACAATAAAGTGATGAAATATGGCAACTCCACACTGTCAAAATTCCATCCATTCCTTTCCTCCTGTGTACTGAGATCGCTAATCGGTGTTCCCTAGTCTATTCTTCAACGTAACGTCGCTCATTTTGTGTCGTATTTTGGGTCAAGGTATTTCTGGAGGATTTTTTTGTACAGAATTACATATCAGGCTGTCCTGTACACAGTAATATGCAATAACACCTAAATCTGAAGCTATGGTATGTGTACAATCACCGTGCAGGCTGGTGTTTTAAGTTAAAAGGTGTTAAAACTTTAGCGATTATATGTAGACGACACTAAGCTCTAGAACTTGTCATTACATGCACACATACTTCAAGGGATGCCATTGTGTAGTAGTTTCAAGATTGACCGCTCCTACCAAATATATCGTAATACATGATGAAAATACAATCAAGATGTAGCCTACATACGAGAAAGGCAAGACGTTTCAACAGTATCCAGCCATATTGATTCAATGGTATTAGTAAATTCTTCATCATATTTTATATTTCATTGAAAAAGCGTTCAATCTATGCGAGATAACCACATATTTGACTTCATACAAGATGTTCGTGAAACCAGTCATAAAATTTGAAGGTCAGGGCACCCGTGTCTCGTTGCTCCAAATTCCACGTACTGAGTATTCCCAAAACTATAGAAAAATAGACCATTTTGAAAACAGTTTCAGACCAACGACTTCAACACTTTAGTATGTTGTGTATAGTACCATCTGTGTTACTCGTAGTATTACACAGATCATAAAATGTAAAAATGTAAACTGCTAAAGTGAGGATTGGGCGAACTTTGGTCGCTATAGTTCATCTGGAAATTCATAAAATTCATCTAAAAGAGTCATATGCATAAGCTGGGATTGACATTTTGAGTAATATTTTATTATATTTATTCAACGTTTAAAACACAAATTAATTTTCCTATATGATGAGAGACGTAGTTGGCCTTGGGTGTGAAATAACAGCTATTTGTTCGTTTTCCGGTGGTGAGTCGGGTTTATTCTTCTTGTACAATGTTGTAGTCTGCTACTAGACGTTTCACAACTTACAATGGGTATTTAACACTACATTTAACAATTTTAAGGACAGTTTGTTGCTCTTAGAAATAAAACGTGTGGACTGTATGTTCTAGTTCTCTCAACTCTTCTCACTGTTGCCACGTCGGGCAAATTGTTCGTAACACGCGGAAACATACTCCCCTCGTTGGAGTCCTGCGGCTCCAAATAAACGTATAGAGCTCCGCGAACTGCACTTAAAACAACGGACACAATTTGGCAAATGACCGTTTCACTTTGCCACTACCACACTTAACGGTTGCCACTCTCGCAACACCATCACGACCGGCATGCAACTCCAACACCCTGCCTAACTGCCATCTGGAAGGTGGTAGGTTGTCCTCTTTGATGAGTACCATCATCCCTGGCTCCAACGTCGATCCGCCATCCTTCATCCATTTCTTCCTCTACTGCAATTCTCCCACATACTCGGAGTTCCACCTCTGCCAAAAATGCTGTTTGGCAGCCTGAACTTTCTGGAACTGTGACAATTTTCCAGGATTTATCGCAGTGACGTCCGGATCTGGCACCTCATGGTATGTTCGCCCAATCAAGAAGTGCGCGGGGGTGAGTGGGATCAAATCATGAGGATCAGTGGATAACGGGCACAGAGGTCGAGAATTCAAGATCGCCTCTATTTGAATCAGTAATGAATAAAATTCCTCAAAAGTAAAATTCGCGCTACCTGCGGTTCTCTTTAGATGATGTTTGACGGATTTGACACCTGCCTCCCATAAACCACCGAAATGAGGTGAATGAGCAGGAATATAACGCCATTCGATTTCGCTTTCGCTACAAGCATCAATAATTGAAGGAGGCTGCTCTCGTAGAAAACTAGAAAGTTCATTTAGCTCCGAATTTGCTCCGATAAAGAGTTGATTTGTTTAGGCTTACCGCGTCGGGCAACGAATCGCCTTAAAGCTAAAATAAAAGTTTCGGTACTTAAGTCAGACACCAATTCGAGGTGTATAGCCTTTGTAGAAAAGCAAACGAACAAACATACGTAGCTCTTAATCAGTTTGCATACGCGCCCTCCTTTATTCTTTATTAGAAACGGCCCTGCGTAGTCAACACCGCAAATTTCAAATGGCAAATTGCAAGAAAATCTCGATTCAGGTAATTGACCCATAATTGGCGCTAAGATTTGTGCCCTTTGTCTTCTACACGTAACGCATTTATTGATAACGTCCCTGCACAGACGACGTCCGGAGACTATCCAATACTTCTCACGCAGCGTTGCGAGTAATGCTTGAGGGCCCGCATGATAGGTAACTTGATGCTCCAAGCTTACAATTAAAATAGCTAATGGATGCATTTTCTCATATGCATAGAGTTTTTTAATCTGCCGCCTACTCTGATGATTCCGTTTTCATCAAGGAAAGGTGACAAACTCAAAATTCTCGATTTGTGATTCAATTTTACATTTCGTGTCAAACAATCATATTCTTCAAGGAAATGAAACCCTTTGAGCCAATCTTATCAAACATAAAAGGGCCTCACTTAGCTTACTAACGGACAAAGGACCGCTGAGCTTTTTCGACTTCATGCTATTGCATTTAAATCTATTAATATAGGCAATCACTCGCCTCAATTTTGTCAAAGTTGAGTATCGGTAAAGTTCAAATTTGAAATAAAAGCCTTGGATGTCGCGTTTAACTCTGGCAAATTTGGTACACTAAATTTGACATCAGGCCAATTCGATTCGTCTTCAGATAGAAAATCTGGCCCATTGCACCATAAGACCATGTCACTTAACTCATGTGGATATGCTCCCCTCGATAACACGTCCGCGGGGTTATGTTTTGTTTCAATGTAACGCCACTGTTGGTCCGCTGTCAATGTCTGAATTTCAGATACTCGATTGGCTACAAACGTTTTTAAAGTACTAGGGCAATGACCAAGCCACCCCAAAACCACAGATGACTCACTCCAAAATGTGCTTTTGTCAAACTTTAAGTTTATTGAATTCAAAACCTTACTTGCCAATCGCGCCAGTACCAAGGCTGCACAGAGCTCTAATCGGGGTATGCTTAAAGTCTTTATTGGTGCTACCTTTGTTTTAGCACACAACAAATGTACCTCTATATTACCATATTCGTCTAAGCTTCTAACATACAGACACCCCCCGTATGCATCCTTTGAGCTGTCCGCAAATCCGTGTAACTCGACAACTTTGGCATTTTCACACAATACTCGACGGGCAATTGATAAGTCATTTAATACTGGCAAATCATCGCGAAGTTTTGCCCAGCTGGTGCATATATTTTGTGAAAGCGTGTCGTCCCACGAAACCCTTTCCAACCAAAGTGACTGCAGCATAATTTTTGCCTTTATTATACAAGGGCTTACAAGACCTAAGGGGTCATACACCTGAGATATATGTGATAGTAGGGTTCTTTTTGTGACCCTTTCCTCCTTATTGAAGATACCAATTTTATACGTCATTACATCCCTGGAAGATGCCCATATTAATCCAAGCGTTTTGCAGTTTTCTCTTTCACCAATTTTGAACGCATGTTCCTGTTGATTATTTGCGCTAATCACAGATAGCAATTCTGCACTGTTTGACTGCCACTTGCGCAGCTCAAAACATCCCGATTTTAGCGTATCAGATACGTCTCTGCAAATCTCTACAGCCTCATTTAAATTTTCGCACCCTGTAAGCATGTCATCAACGTAAAAATCATGCAAGATTATTCGTGATGCACGCGGATTCGATTGGACAATTTTCAGACCCAATTGTTGTACGCATCGTGTGGCTAGTTACGCGGCGGAGGCAGTGCCGTAGGTGACGGTGTTCAGCTGATAGGTACCCAAATCCTTAGAAGGATCATCTCGCCAAAATATCTGTTGCAAATAACGCTGTTCGGGCTCTATCAGCACTTGCCTATACATTTTCGCTATATCGCCAGCTATGACAATTTTCTGAGTACGAAAACGAAGTATAATGCTTAGCAAATCATCCTGTACAACAGGACCTACCATTTGTAGATTATTTAGAGAAAACCCAGATGAAGTAGGGCAACTTCCGTCAAAAACCACACGCAACTTAGTGGTCTGAGAGTCTTCCTTGAAGACCCCATGATGCGGCATGTAGTACGTCGTGACCGTCAAATTATCGCTGTCTACACGCGCCATGTGATTGAGCGATTCATACTCTTTCATAAAATCATTGTAACTTTCCCTGAAGTTCAAGTCTGTGACTAACCGTTTTTCCAGTTTATGGAATCGTTTTTCAGATATAAACTTAGAATCGCCAAGCTTACTCACACTGTCTTTGAATGGGATAGAAACTATAAAACGGCCATCCGTATCGCGTCTCGTAGTATTTACGAAATGTGTTTCACACAAATTTTCTTCGACCGATTTGGGCTTTTCCGTAGGTATCTCCTCAATCTCTCAGAATGAGGCTAATTGACGCTGAATATTATCATTGTTCACAGAAAGATTGCAAATCGACGTGCACCTATTGTTGCTAGGATATAAACTTAATGGCCCAGATACTACCCATCCCAGGATGGTTTTTTGAAGTAAAGGCATGTCTATGCCCAACTTAACTTGACCTATGCAAAGTAACTCATAGAATACTTCGATACCAATCAACATGTCTATTTTACCTGGCAAATAAAAAGACGAATCTGCCAACCGCAGATTTTTTGGAATATTCAACAGATTTTGATCAATCCTGATCATTGGTATGTCATTCGTTATGGTTGGTAACACATGAAAAGTTAAACATCTACTAAAGTCATTAACCATCGATCTTATTTCCAAATCGCACCTTGCCTTGGCTATTAAAGCATTCTCATTGAGCCCAGATACCGCAAATCGGACATTCGTAGTTGCTATACCTAGTCGATTGCAAAATTCTTCAGTGATATAATTCGATTGACTCCCCGAGTCTAAAACCGCACGCCCCTGGCAGGACTTTCCATCCTTGTCTAACACTTCTACAATGGCGGTGGACAGCAAGGCCTGGCTTGGCGAGTACGACGACAAGCACGCAGCCGCGACATAGCCGCCGCTAGGGGGTTCCTCAACTGCTTCATGCGACGGTGCCGGCGCTTGTTTCGATTTCTGACTTTCTTTGGGAGTGTTACTTTTATCGAAATGTAACAACGTGTTATGTTTAACTTTGCAACACTTGCAACCAATTGACCTGCACTGTCTGCTGAAGTGCCCTAACCTGAGACAGTTCATACACACCCTTTTGTCTCTTAATCTGTCATACCGCTCTGACACACTTAATTTATTGAACAAAGTGCAATTCTGCACAAAATGATTTTCATTACAAATCACACATTTGGGCGCTATAGTCGATGCTAATCCTTTGCTCGTGGTCGCATTCGGACGACCTCTAACCATTTTATCATTATTAGCTTTGGACTCTATTGTTTCCAGTACATTTGCTCTGCCCTTCAGGAACTCTTGCATATCCCGTAACTTGGGCTTATCAGACAAACGTGACGCAAACCTTTCCCCCTCCCTCAAGGACGACTTATCTAACTTCGTAGATATGATGTAGATTATGAGTGTGTCTCATGAATCTACCTGTTCACCTAACTGCCCAAGGGACTTCAAGTGTTTGGATACAGTGTCGATGATACGCCTAATTTCGCAGGCCGCTTCTCTAGCTATCGGAGTTATATTGAAAATCGACTGCACGTGATTATGAGTTAGCAATTTAACATTGTCATATCGCTCTATTACAGCATCATACGCGTTTTTGTAGTTTGCTGCCGTGAAATCTATGCATTTAATGGAATTTACGGCATCTCCCTGCAATGCAGCCTTCAAGTAATGAAACTTCTGGATATCAGTTATACTTTCATTTTCATGTACAACAACATTTTCATGTATAAGTGAATTATAGATTTCCCGGAATTCAACCCAAGAGTTGGCATCGCCGCTGTATTTCGGCAGTTCGATTTTCGGCAAACGAACGTCGATTTGAACGATCCCCTCTCCTCGGGCACGCGCACTGCTCGCAGTGGAAGGGACGGACTTCGCGCTGTTGCCAGACTTTACTTCTGATTTGTCGTTTATTATCGATTTTGCCAAACCCAAATAGCGATCAAAATAGTTTTCTACGACTTCACGCTCCGCGATTTGCTCATCCAGATCATCATCAAGAACTAAAGATTCAATTTGGCACTGTATTCCTGCAAATTCCGCATTTGCCGCATCTATTCTTTCAATTTTCTACCATAGTTCGAACAAGGTTCCATCGTCTAAAGATTCCGTGGCAGATACATTATCTAAATACTTTTTGAAATTAGTAAGTCGCGCTTTTATTACGCCTCTCTGGCGCACCAAATTCGACAGATCGTACGATATATTTTACAATTTGCAAAGCACTAAATTCCAAAGCAAAGCAAGCAATTCTAATAAGCGTCTTGAAATCAACGACCTTAAGGGCAAGATAATGGGCAAAAGGGAATCAAGGACTCACCGCACCCCTTTGCAAGGCTAATCTCGAATCTCGCTGGTACTGGTAGTTCAGGTTCCAACTTGATATTCGGTCGAAGGTCCAAAATGATGAGAGAGGTAGCTGGCCTTGGGGGTGAAATAACAGCTATATGTTCCTTTTCCGGTGGTGAGTCGGGTTTATTCTTCTTGTACAATGTTGTAGTCTGCTACTAGACGTTTCACAACTTACAATGGGTATTTAACACTACATTTAACAATTTTAGAGACAGTTTTTTGCTCTTAGAAATAAAACGTGTGGACTGTATGTTCTAGTTCTCTCCACTCTTCTCACTGTTGCCACGTCGGGCAAATTGTTCGTAACACGCGGAAATACTATATGCCTATTGAATAAAACACAAATTCAGCTACCGCACACAACCCGACAACACCGACTGCTTCAAAGCACAAATAGCGCACTTATAATTACAACGTTACCAAGTGAATTTTGGTCTTAGAGGTACCTATACTTTATCTGAAGTCACTTGAAACACTGTGAAATACCGGGTGCGTTTTATATATCTATATTTAACACGCTCTGTTGCTGCAAAAATCGCCAAATTTCGCAGCAAATATCCCCCGTATAAGAGATCAAAGGCAGTTTCACCGGTCCACGTGGAGTAAAGCACGCCTATGCGTGGACATAGCCAATGAGAAAGCGTGTATTTCAGAGCTCGGAACAAGTGCAGGTGGCTACTGAAAATTGAAACAGTTTAGCCAGTGCCGTGTAGCGGTGAATAAACGTGTTTTCATAGATTTTATTAGTTTGTGTGTTTTTGACTTTTTAATACTCAGTTTACTTGTTGATTTAATTGTTGTGTTGATTGTTCTTGTGTGTCCTAAATATGGCTCTTTGAAGACCTTGGGAAAATGCTCCAAGCCACGAGGAGATGGTTCATGAACCTGTGCAGGTAGAATTCTTTCATAAAGATTGAGAGGAACAGACCCAAAGAGTAATCCTAAATATGTATGATTGTCTGAAAAACGAAAATCCAGATTCCTCGCAAAATCAAATTTTAAACAGAATTTGTATCCTGACAAAAATCAGTCGGTCTACCATTTATCGGGTTATAAAAAGGG